CCCCCCCCCCCCCGGGGTGTTCTGGATAAAACTGGCAAGGTATCTTCAAGGGTTGTACATGAAAAAATTAACAACAAGACATCTGCACACTACCTCATGCAGGTGTGGATCCAGGATTTTTCTTAGGAGGCAATGCACCACTAAGGAATGATTTAACTGAGTTTTTTTTTTTTTTTCTTTTTTCTTTTTTCACAAAATACCAGTCATATTAGAAAGGCATATGTCATCTCAGTGAGGGGGGTGCACTCCTGCACCCTCCCCTTAGATCCGCCCCAGCCTTGAAACTGAGACTCCCTTCTCTGTCTGCTAAGTCAGAGACACAAGAAAGCGTTTGCTTGCAACCGCTTCATTGTTTGATCAGCTCCCGTTAACAACCAGGGACGAATAAATTAAAAATATTGTTTTTTGTCAAGTTTTAATCAGTTTTATAACTTACACATGGCAGATAGGATTCAAAACGCTGTCCGTTTGCAAGGGAGTCACCACCACCCCACCCCCAGCCAGGAGAATTAGATTAGCTACCTTATGCTGTAACTGTGTCACTCATGAGAAATGCTTTTTTGTTGCCTATTTCTGGCTACTTTCTTTTGCAGCCATTTCTTTTGGAACTGTCACGCAATGCTTCACACGTGATATCCCAAAAAGTGGTTGCGAAGGAGACTAGACCTTAGCAGATGAGTGACTGACCCTCATTTACATACTATTTGCATAATCTGATCACCCACTGCAATTCATAACTTGGTATTGCAATTTTTTAGGTCAGATGGCCCCGGCAATTTCTACAGCTTTTGAAGCATTTCTTTATAATAATTTCTCACAAGAGTTCACTAATTAATGAAAGGATCTCTCACAAGTGACTGCTTTTTTCTTTTTCGTAGAAACAACATGATTGAAGAAGTTGTTGCCCACATTTTCACAGGATTTGTAAATGTTGTAGCTGGTCTTCACCTGTCCGCAGTGCATAAACCTTCAATATTAGACATTGCAAAGTACTTGATTATTTTTTTTGTGGTCCCCTCGATTGCTGTGGTTGCTTATGATCAGTTCTTTCCTATATTTAAAGGAGTTAACCTATATCTGGTATTTGTTATTTCCACACCAGTACTTCTCGTCACCCCTGTCTTGGCATTTGCTTTATTTCGCTTTTTCGGTGGCCACTGGTTGCTTAATTGGCACCTGAGGAAGACTTCACGATATCTAGATTTGTGTAACTTGCCTAACGAGTACAAAACATTGTTGCTGCCCAGAGATACAGCAAAATGGCATTACCAGCTTGCTGGGAGCTCAGCTGATCATGGGTTTGGATTTTTTCCTCTGCTGAGTTCAAACTCAGGGATATTTCCATGGTCAAAACCACAGATGATTCAAGATGTTGATGTGAATATATTTTATAAGCCATTGTGTGTTAGAATTGACCATTTGATACCTACATCACCTGGATATTGCAAGGTGGTTGTCAATGGCTTCACTCAAGATGCATTTTTGCATGACTGCATTGTCAAGTGTGGATCACAGTCTTTGCTTTCTGGAAGGTTAGTTTCACAAAAAATAGGAGAAGAGTTTGCCACAGCAGATGTGGAATACAACTACCCTGCAGTAACATTTAAAGCAGTTTTGGATGGCCCTCGGGGAAAGTTTACATTTCATAGCGATATTGTCTTTGGAATCAAAATAATCGACTCTGCAGATGTAGCTTATGATTGGTTCGTGCGAGTGCAAGATATATTTCCATATCAACTTCTCGACATTATCAGGGCTACGGGATGCTACTTAGTTCACAAGCATTGTTTATCACATCATATCTCGCATGATTTTGATTGGAGAATTACATTTGCTGAAGCCGAGTCAAAGCTTTTTGAGTATCATTCTGACAAGACAGCACTGAAATTGTGTTACGTTGTCATCAAATTTGCAATCAAGCAGTTCAGTCAAGTAAAGAAGAGAAGTTATCTAGCCCTAAAATCCTACCATTTAAAGACTGTTGTCTTGTGGATTGCTGAGCAAAGTGGAAAGCTTCCTTTTGATGTGTATACAATTGACAACAACAGCACACTAGGGGCACTGTTGTCACATATCATATCAACATACAGGCAACATCTACATGAAGGATATTTACAACACTATTTTATAAGGGGTGTAAACATTTTGGAGCCCTATGGTGTTGAAGAATGCACAGCAGCTATGCACTTGTTAGATGAGTTTAATAGGAAGCCACTGGCTACTGTGTCTAATTTTGATAATGCTAATATGAACCGCTGGAAATTTGAGCAGTTTGTCATTGTTAGTCAGCTTGTTGTGGTGGCATGCTTGTGTTTCAGCTGTTATTTTTCAGTAGTTGGTGAACTATTTGTGCAGCAAATCTATGTAGTGTGTGCTGTATTTGGTTTGATAATGATTGTAAAAATACTTCTAGATTGATGCATTGCTGTCTAGTTATCAGGGTTTCCTGGTATTATTTTTATAATATAATGCCATTTGCTCTTATTGACACATCTGATTTCATGATCTAACTGACATTTTTAAAACGTATCTCACAAGAAATTTTCACAGTTGCCTTGGAAAGTGAGAGAATTGAACTAAAGTCCATATTAAGGTGGCTGGTAACAGTTTCCAGATTTTTCCAGTAGTTATACTTTGATGGCTCAGTACTACCACATTTTATCAACTGATGTTGTAATATTAGGTATCACATTAACGACCAATCATTGTTAAACAATTGTGGTCACCTTTATGGTATATTAGGTTACCATAGTAATGATACAGCTTGTTAAAAATTCCAGCTTTTTAAAAGTGCTGCCTTATAACTCAAAAATGGCTTGTGGAAACCCATTTTTTATTATCGAATTGTGATAAGCATGTTAAGATAAATTTTTTGCAAAGTTTAAAAAAATTCTACCAACAGACCTTTTTAAACTTTGGGCCTAAATGGGTTAGGCATAGCCTGCGAACAGGCTCCTGGTGACGACGGGAAAAAAGTTCAGCGAGCGAAGCGAGCCAATGAGTGCAAAACTGAAGAAGTCGGAGAGCGAAGCGATGCGGGAGGGACGCGGCGGGGAAGCCTGTAGACTCTTTTTGTGTGCCTATCCACCCTTGGTGATTTGCCTGAAGCAAATCAGTCAATGAGGTAATTAGACCTGTCAAGAAGCTACATTTTTTGTACAGCTCTAATCAAACAGCTGGGCCTGGCGTCATAACAGAGTGCAAGTAAGCAACATGTTCACGGAATATTTCAAACTTTGTCCCTCCAGAGCCAATTCTTAGGGAGGTTAAAACATATTTTGAAATAGAAATGAGTCTAAACAAATTATAAGCGTATGGCAAATTGCAGAGGTGTCAAACTCCGGGAAGCGACATGCAGATAACAGCGGAAACCATGCAGGCCTTTGACCTTTAAAAAAACTGATTGCTATAGCACAGTCAAACGGCTCCACTCTACTTAAAATTCCTCCTCAAAACACAGCATAAAGTGCGAAAGGTCCAGAGACAGAAAATTAGCCCAGTCAAACGGCACCACTCTACTTAAAATTCCTTCTCAAAACACAGCATAAAGTGCGAAAGGTCCAGAGACCGAAAATTAAAAGAGAACGGCAAATGTACAAATGACACGAACCGTAGGAGTCTTGTACGGCGGTCAACCGCATTTTACAAAGATCTGTCAAATGATCATCTCAAAGATGTCAACAATCAATGATTTAACCAATCAGATCATGATACCAGATTCTAGTATCATGGAACGGAGGCATCAATAGAATGTCTACAGGCTCCCACTCTTTGTTCTAGGTTAGGTATGACCAAGGTGACTAGTGCCCATCCTCTGGAAATATGTCTTTGTCGTGACGAGCGTTTCTCGACAGCATTGCCCAATAAACTGCAACCAGAAGATCTGGAGATGCAAGGACGGTTGTCTGGCGCCATAACATCAGCCGTATCCGGGCAGATGGGGCTCGCGGAGTTTGTCTAGGAAAAGGAAAAGTCTGATTCCAAACCCGGGTAGATGGAAACTCGTTAGCCCTGGAAGGCAACCACCTAAAGGCGGCGAAATACGAAATACAAAAGCCATCAACTTGTCGCGTAACATTGTTTCGTTGCAAGTTTGGGTTGATGAAAAACGAGCAACAAAGCCAAAATTTGTCGCTCAAAGTAGACCCGCGCTCTACTTTTCCCAACAACTTTCTTCAACCCGCAACAAATGTTTTTGTTGCGCGACAAGTTGATCATGCAAGGTGAAAAACGCGAAACATCGTCCCAAAACTTGCAACGAAACAATGTTAAGGGCCGAGTTGAGAGTTTTGTATCTCGTATTTCGCTGCCTTAAGGGAGGAAAATCCTGACAGAAAGCTAACCAGCCCTCCTGGTATGGCGATTAATTAGGCTGAGGGTTAACAATGATCAATACCAGATTTCTACCACCAAAATCATACTCGAACAGGAATGCAAAGGGAGGCCACCTCCGGATGCGCCTTCATCGAGTGTAAAAAGGCGTTCCATTCTGTCCATCGGGGTAGCTTATGGAACACAATCCAAGTTTGAGCGCATCCAAGCGAAAACGGAAAGGCTGGTTACTGCGGCAGGAAGAACAGGTTTGTCTGAAGGCACTAAATAAGATGTAAAATGTTGCGAATAGATAGAGCAAGGGTGGACAGGGTTAGAGTCAGGAGCGAAGAGGTACAAGAT